GAGCCGATTTAATTCGAGCGACCATATCCGATAATCTCGTAAATTAATACAGCGCGTCATCCGAGGCGGGCAGTTTTTTTTTTTTTCCCCGGTGGGATGTTGCGTAACGAATAATTTAAAAGCAATCAAAGCGGGCCCGCTAGGCGAAACCCGCAAACGCGCCCCACGTTAACACGTGCGCGCGCAACACCGTCCTGAATTTGACATTGTCCTCTTTGTAGAGACTGATATCGATCATCCACCTTCTCTTTGTCGCTCGCAGCCAATGTACGAACAACGCGACTCACGTTTTGCTTACGCGTCCTCGCGTGCCCGCCGACGGCGTCGCTCACCTGTAGCGACACGATATCGTGAGAAATTATCGATATTTCGGAAACTTTAAGCAGCTTAAAGGAACCGATCGCTTCAAGGAAGGGAAAGCTGATACGAGTTGAATCGCCTATGTACGTTATATTTTATTTGTGCATGCAGAAAGGGAAGTTTCAGTTTCGATCGAAGCCACTTTCTGGCAAATATTTTCCCACAGCAGACACCCGAAAGTTTGGAAAAATAATTCAAACAAGAATTATAAAAAGAAAAAACGAAGCGTTTGGTATATTTTACTGATCGATAATTTTTTGATGTATCTACAGGAAAGTATTTAATCGTGTATTTTCGTGATCTTCTGTATTAGTTTTCTCCTGTTATCATTCTTTCGCTAATTGTACGCTAATTATAGGTACACAGAGGATAACTGTTAAGTAACTATTTTGAAACTATATATTGACTTTATTGAACAACTCGGCGACCTGATTTAGAGGAAAGTTCGAATTACCGTTAATCCGCGTAGAGAGAAGTCTTATTCTATTTTTAATAAATAACAATCAACTTTGAATGCGCACTTTTATCAGCTCCGTTTTAGAATAAAATACCGCGTTTTTATGATCTTTGAGAGAGAGAGAGAGAGAGAGAGAGAGAGAGAGAGAGAGAGAGAGAGCTGAGATAATTACATTAATTATTATACAATATTTTAATGAAGAATCGGATATCTCCTCCCTTCCAATATTAATAGAAGCATCGTCGATATCTACGTCAGTTTCTACTCACCTGTATTCTACATCAGGTGGATTGGCCTCGGCGCAACACTTGAACCTAAGCTCGGAACCTTCGACGATGCGATCGATCTTCGAGAGGGACACCTTCGGTGCGTAACGTACCTGAAAACAAAATACGTAAATCGCCTTTCTCCATTTTCCAAACTTCCCATCACGTAGAAATCGAACATGGGGGGGGTCCGCTCTCAATGTTATCGTCGCGCTTTCGTCCCGAGGTGTGCTACGTGCGTAGTCCGGAATAATAATGATGCATATATCCATTATTGCGCGTTTGAAATTTTCGGAGCGTTCGTTATATATTTCACAAGGGAAATAGGAGATATATCCCGTAGTATATTACTCACGCTCGATACACTTTCAGAATTGAATGAAATTTTATCTTTTCAAATTTTGTCCGAAACCTTTTAGGGGCGTATATTTATCATGTTATTTCATTTATTTGAAACTTTATCCTTTCTAAGGCTATAATTTTTGCACAATTTTAAATAACAGTAACGAGGTATTTGTCGCATTGCGTGTTTCTACGATTCACTATGCTTCCTTTTATCATTCTATCAAATAATATAAATTTTCTTCTCAACTAAAAATATTAACGATTAATACTTTTATGAGCATAAGATAAATTTGAAAAATCGCCATTAATAATACAGCTTATTCTGCATTAAACTTCGAATTTATTTAAACAGAATTTTAGTATTTAAAGATTTTAATATTTAAATATTAAATTTCACAGATATTTAGAGATTTATTTTTGATATCACATTGAGATTTTTATTCGATATAGTATAAAAACATATATATAATTTAAAAGAAGAAGTTAATAACACAGATACTTTTTAGCAGAAATCCACTCTGAATCAAGAAGAAAAATTTATTTTTATATTATATAGCAAGGGTAAAATATTTTCTCTATATACAAAAAAATAAGTTTTTCTTCATTTTGTCGACAGGTGCGTGGATGATAAAAAAGAGAAATCACATCGAAGAAATAGGAGTTTGCTCGAACTCGCTTGCGTAAGAATTGCTCCCAATTAGGATGATATTAACGTCGAACTTATATTAGGAGTAGTGAAAAGCACGGGTAATATATCCCGTGCAGTGTAAAAGAGTTAAGTAATAACTCGTGAGAATTTTCTCTGCAGGTCGGCGCGGTGTGTTCGCAATATCGCCAACCATCTCCGACGTCGTCGTCGTCGTCGTCGCAAATTCGAATGTTCTGCCCGGGCAAAAATCTCTGCGAGTTCGCTTCGTTGCCCTTTTCCATGAAACTATTTGTTCCCTTTGCCACTTCGGATAATGGAGTCTACGTCTCTGAAGAAAAGAGGGCGGAAGTAGTACCCGGAGAACGCGGCAAAGTACTCGCGCGCTCGCAGCACGAAAGTTGCGCCAGCGGATGGCGATTACCGCGCGCTAACCGCTTCTCAAGACACGACGTTAATTATTATACGTCGCCTCGTTACCCTCGTTACCCTCCTCCCTGCCGCGTCCCGGGCCCTGCTTTCGCGCGACTCGCGTTAATTTCTTCCTCCGGTCAGCGAGTAAAAAGAACGCGCGCGTAAAAGGCCAGTGATTTTATTTCCCTTTAAACGAGATTTCTATCTTCCCCCGCTTCCCATTTTCTTTTATTTTTCTCTGATTTCTCGCCGTCTTGCTGACACGGTTCACAGATTTATTTCACGATATTACCCTATGTATTTCCAACTCGATTTTCAACTGGCTCAAGCTCGAGTTCTTATGGAAATTGTGTGTGCCCGAAGACTAGGCAGTTATTACGAGGTATACGTACCTCGACGCGAAGTTTGGCGCTTTGCGGCGAACGATCCGCCATATTTTGACTTTGGCACGTGAAAGTCGTGTTGTCGTGATCCTTCCGCGGCATCACTCTCAGGACGGACTTTACAGTAATCAGCGGACCGTTATCGTACGCCTCCTTCGTGGTTTTGATGCCATGGCGTAGCACGTTGCCCAGTCCATCGATCCACGTGATCTGCAAGAAACGTTACAGTTAAAAATAGCATTGCTCGAGAAAACACCCGCGTCAGGGAATTGACCCGTGACGGGAATTCTTATGCTTTTATTACCATAATGTTGCCCGTGGGACTTAAAAACTTAGTGTTTTTTTTTTTTTTAACCACACTCCTTTTAGAGAAACATTCAAATAAAAATGCCAGTTTTCAATATTATTTATTGTACGTGATATATTACGATACATCTTAAATAATTATTTGAAATAATATGGATTAAAATGGTGGAACAGTCAATTTACTATTTGAAATATCAATTTTTTCAACTTTAGTTTATGACTGCGTGTTTCGAGTCTGACAAATCTTATCGGCGCGCAGTCTATAAAATTGAAATATTATATTTGTAAAAAAATTACATTATATTATCATTAAGCACTAAGATCCGAAAATAGGAATATTTCTTTCTATTGATTTATTCTCGTCGGTCTAATTTCGATTTATAATAATTGTCTATACATACGTGTCTCCTTGAAATATGGTTTTCATTAGTTACTGATTATTGCGATAAATATTTCTACATGCCTCGGTGATCGAATTGATGTGACACTCGTCCTAAAAAGTTGGAAGTTTCAAACTCGAATTCTGGCTGAGATAGTATTTTCCGCAATAAATTATTTACAAGTTCTTAAGATGCTTATTAGTCTTGCTATTAGAATAAATTAGCTTTGTTACTATAATAAATTAATTTTACATTATTAAGAGATTCACTTTGACCAAAAGTAGGATTATTTCTGTTAATTGATTTATTTGGAATAACAAATTTTCGTTAACGTATTCCTCGAGCAAAGTAGTTGGAAAATTTCGAAAATTTTAGCAATATTCTACTGCCTTTGAATTCCACAACTGTATTCAAAATTTTCACGGTGTTGTTTATGGATAAAAACCGATAGCCTCGGAATTGTTGAGAGGGATGCGATTTGCAACGATCAATTAATGAAGTTGCGAACGAATTTCCGTGCATAATGCCGTAACATGATTGTTCTGCCGGACCTGTTCAAACACAATTGCGCGCGTATGTGCGTGCGTGTCGCGGAAATCAAGCTTATCGGCTCTAATTAGACACCTCATGCGAGAGTTCCTGCTGTTTGTTATCGATATGAGATCTCCGGGCTGCAAGTGCCGCAGCGTCCTTCCGCGTTCGCTCTGTGTTATAGGGATCACTAGAATAATCATATTCCCATACAGTGTCGCCATTATCTACGGTATTGTCCTGTATCTCACGATTTATGCATGTACTCTTCGCACGATTTTTACCGTATCAACATATTATTGCAATTTCACGCGAGCCGACAGATATCTATCGGATATAGGTATTTTGTTTTTCAAAGCGTCTCGCGATTGCACCGATAATTTTGTTTTTTTTTCGAATTAATCAGCAACATGCAATCTAATACTTGTTAATGAAATTCATAAAATATACGCTGTTATTTGCAATCTTACATCACTTCTCCACTATGTATATTAAAAACGAGAAGTAATATTAAGATGCTTAATTAATCTGATTAAAAGTATCAGAAATAATTATTAAACTACACACATTTTGAATTCTTAAAAAAAAAAATTATTATTTCTCAGAGAAAAATATTTCAAGAGTTTCTATAATAATACTTGCGAATATATTTTGCAGGATAAAAATGTTACAAGGACATCAGTTGGTTCTATTTTTCGCTTAAATTTGAATATGCGATGCTATTGTTAGCTCTCAACACACAATAGCATAATGGCAAAATCATATATCGGATATAGCACGTGATACTAGGTGATTTCATAAATATATATGGAGATCTTTTTAAACGTGAGAAATATCGGAAATTGACGTACGATTTACGAGCTTGCCTTCTTTCATGCAATCAGTGGTGAATCGAATATGCTTTCCATTGACGTCTTCTTGTGAAGCGGGTTCGTTTAGTCGCTTTTCTAACTGCGGCCTCCGCAGGAAATCGATCTCGTCCGCTCTAATTAGGAGTTCTGCGGTCTCGCGGTGCAGTACCATTTACTATTGTGTCACGAGTGCGAATGAAATTGCCGTGCAAAGTGCATTTGCGTAAAGGAGCGAAAAATCGGAGCATTCGGACATTTTTATCCTTTCTCTTAAAAATTTCTCATAAAATATATAGCCTCATAAAACTCATGATATAATTAACTTTCATGAAACGCGTTGCTTTTAAAGGCAGAATCCGTAATTTCCGAAAAACTGAAACGTTTAAAGACCTTAAAATGAAAATGGATTAAAAAGCTGTGTTAATGGCTGTAACAATATATATGCGCTCCACGCGAAAAAGTATCATTTGTCGCAAAATTATGATTACGACATAATCTCGTCATTTTATTTCGAATCTTTATTTTATATTTCAATAATAAACGGAAGCTTCCGAGCTAATCTCCATCGAACGTCCATCCCACTTTCCCGCTCGCTTAATCATCCGATATTCAGTTTTTACATTTTCGGTATTAAAGCGTGCATTTCGCATTTTCTGGTTGAGAATGGCAGAAATACACGCGCAGCTGGTTGCCCTCCGGGCTAGAAATTTCGAGGCGCGCGCGTCCAGCTTTATTACGAAGCATATTGAGAATCGTATCAGGATATCCCGTAGCGGTTTTCTCTGGTAAGATGAATAGATTCACAACTAATAATTTCCCGTGGGCATCCACGCGCCCCCATCCCGTCACCCCCGCATGGACCATTCGCACGATGGACAATAGCTCTGAAAGTGGAGTTACGGGATGTAGAATAAGCGGTGCGGCCAGGTGAAGAGAAGGTGTTAGTAGTGGTGGTAGTAGTAGTAGTAATAGTAGAGAAATAGAGAGAATGATGGGGGGGGGGGGGGGGGGGG